CTGCAGAATCATAAGTCAATCAAACGGCCATTGCTTTAAGTCACTAAGTGGGGGTGCTTTGCTACACAACAATATATAAACCTTAATTTCTCCCACAGCCCCACAGGCTCGCCTGTCTGTCAAGGACAAAGGCTCACACTTACTCTCTCTCCAAGAAATATCATATGACATGGAAGTCAAGAATCAGCTTCAAATCAGTCTTTCCAGAAGTTTTTATCATTTACTAGGATACAGATTATGGAAGTTATTCTCTCAGTATTCTCTGTTAATATCAACATTTCTCATATTGGGTTATTTTTTGGTTGTTATTTTTATCTTTCCTTGAGATTTGCCAATAGCTTCGCCACAGAACTAAATTATGAAAATCTTATGAATTAATTTATTAATCATCATTTTCTTTTTTTTGCTTCTCAAGAATTACTTTTTTGTTTTAAACTTGTTTTGTTATATAACTTGTTCATTATTTATTTTGTCTGTAAATTTGTACTCAATGCATGTTTAATTCAATTTTAAGATATATAGTATTCTAATAACCTAAAATTGAAATTTCATTTATCCTTTGATCCAATAATTTTATACAAGTATTTTTAGATATCTGGTTAATTTTGCAGATTTTTTCGCATTCATTTCTTGTTTACTGTAGCTTGATGGAAGTATGACAAGTGTATCCCATTTAAAAATTTGTAGAAATTCTGATGATTTTTGTAAATGTTTTATAAACATTTTTAGAGGTGTGTTTCCTGCACAAAAGGTAATAATTACTTCAATCTGACTTTAATTCTCTACGACGTTTTTTGTTACACGTTTGCCGGGCTTATCAAGGGCTCACACAGCTACATTCCTAATTCCTATAAAGAGCATCTCTCAATTTCCCATTTTATTTGGATAATTTTTGCATTATATATTGATGCAATATTAATCAGTATATTAATGTTTATGAATGTTTATGTTCCCTATAATATTTTCTCAACCTGTTTGTTTTCATCCTTGAGTTTTACTTTTTTGAAAACAATGTTGTCATCTATGTTGTCGTTTTGTTTCTATATATAAGCTAAATTTTAAGTGTTTTATTCATCAAACTGTTCTAGAATGTAAGCACATACGTGGATACTGATTTTTAATGCAGCTAGAAATTATACATCTTTTTTCACAGAGCCCAGCCTACTTACATTTATCATAATCCCTGACATATTTGTTATTTTATTATGTTGGAATAAATGTTAAGAGTATTTTGTTTCACTTTATTTTCTCTAATGGTTTATTACATTTACATTCTGGTTTAATTGTTCAACCTGTAATTCCTTATTCAAATCAAGAAAGAAAATGTGCCAGGTGCAATGGCTCCCACCTGTAATCTCAGCATTTTGGGTGGCCAAGGCAGGAGCATTGCTTGAGGCCAGGAGTCCAAGACTAGCCTGGGCAACATAGTGAGACCCCATATCTGCAAATAATTAAAAAATTAGCTGGCCATGGTGGTGCATGCCTGTAGTCCCAGCAACTCAAGAGGCTGAGGTGGGAGGTCCCCTTGAACCTAGGAGGTTGAGGCTGCAATGAGCCATGTTTGCATGGCTGCAGTCCAGCCTGAGTGACAAAGCAATACCCTGTCTCAAACAAACAAACAAACAACACAACACAGCAGAACACAACACACAGAGAGAGGAAATGTGTCTTCTGACTCTGCTGCCTCACATATACAATAGTTAGAATTTAGAATGATTTTCCTTCTTCATGTTCTACCCCCCAACTTTTGATTTTTTAAATATATAAACTAGACCTTAGGATTCTCCTTGTAATTAATTTTTATACTTTTCCTGGTATCAAATATTAGTTATATGCTTCTAGATTAACAAATGTGTGGCAGTGTTTTAGGCTAATTCTACCTTTCACTATTCACAATCTTTTTTTTTTTTAACAGGTGCACACCACCACACCCAGCTAATTTTTGTAGTTTTAGTAGAAATGGGGTTTCACCATGTTGGCCAGGCTGGTCTCCAATTCCTGACCTCGTGATCCACCCACCTTGGCCTCCCAAAGTGCTGGGATTACAGGTATGAGCCACCATGCCTGGCCCACTTTTTTACTATCCCACCCTCCTTACTCTCCCTTCCCAGGCTCTTCGTTTCTATGACATCAGCTTAACTTCTTTGTATCAAAAAATAAAATTTAGATACATGTCTTTGAGTGTCTGACTATTTCATTTTTAGATGTGAATGAAATTTGTTTGTGATAATCTTCCCTCCCAAAAAACTGTAAGTATTATTTAAACCACAGTGCAGAAGTATGAATTCAATTCTTTTGTTAGTAACTTCTTTTTCTCTCTGGATGCTTGTGGGGTGAAGGGATTTCCCTTCATCCTTCTAAATAAAACTTTGTTCTAGGACTCCAGGTATTATTCCTTGGGGATCACTGTCAAAAAAAAAAAAAAAAAAAAAAAAGAACCATTTCAATCCGCGTGCTCAGACATTGTATCTGGACATTTTTCTTGAATCATGCTAATTCAAGGAATCCTTCTCTTGATTATGGCAACTGTCCTAGTTGCCCATGTTACCTTGTCAGGGACACCTATGTCCTTAGCTCACAGTTCATTTTCTTCAGCTGTCATTCACCCTCTTACAGATCATACCTATTTGTCTGTATTTTATGCATTCCACCAGGGCTTCTCAAAAATTTTCCATCAGGGATTTCACTTCCTGCAGTTCTATGCATGTTATTTACCAAGCAAAAGTCCTTCTTTCAAAAAGACCTTTTTTGAAATCCTTATTTCAAGCAGATCATTTTCCATCTTATTGCATTTCCTTGCATCCTATCCTCTAGTCTCTTTGTACCAACTGCTATCTTTTCATCTCCGTTCGTCTTTCTGCAGCTTTCTGCTCCAGGCTTACAGAGCCATGCCTATTTACATGCTATTGAGGATGCTGGTTTTCTAGTCAAGGAAATGCCAGTGCATGCTCTTATTCTGCATATCTGCATGATATTCTCTTTCCCCAGACCTGAAGTGTGTTTTCTCCGGGGTAGAGGAAGGGAGGCAACATTTTGGTTTTCTTGATTTACTCATTTTCTAATGGATGCAGAGTTAACTTGGGATTTCTCCAAACTATGACTACATGGCTTCCTTTTGATTCTCCCCCTCTCCCCCACAGTGGGCCAGCTGGGGGCACAGCGACACGCAGTTCCCACTGTGTGATGAGCATCTATCTGCTCAGGGGCTGGACTATGCAGATGGGAGATCTTCATCCATGCCCACCTCATGGCCTGACACTCTCAGTTCAGAGGATGGAAGGACACTCGACTGCCCACACACTCTGCCTCACAGAGGACTTGCATACGGACACACCTTCAGCACCTCGCATGCCCCACAGGATGTTCCTCTGCCTATGCCATCATGCTTTGTTTCCGGTGGTCTCTGGATGGATATATTGAGAGAAGCACTCACACAAGGAGAAGATTCTGTCCTGCTTCTGCTGTCTTAGCTCCATGGCCTCTGAGCACGGGCCAGGCCATGGGACCAGGACCCTGTGCCCACCTGCCTTATTCTGCAAGTTCACAGACTGTGTTCAGTAAGGCAGAACATAAACAGGTCACAAAAGGTTCTTTTAATCTAATTCTGTCAGACTTTTCCAAATTTTTGGAAATAAACGGTTCTTCAATGTTGGTCCTGATTTTTGTTCTTTTTAAAATCCGATTCCTAGCAGGAATTCAAAGGAAATAACTTCAAGGATCATGGTGTAGCACAGAAACAGAAAACCAAATACTACCTGTTCTCACTTATAAGTAGGAGATAAACAATGGGTTTTCATGGCATAAGATGGCAGCAATAGACACTGGAGGCTCCAAAAGTGGGGAGGAAAGGGAGAAGGGCTGGAAAGCTACCTACTGAGTGCCATGTTCTCTACTTGGGTGATGGGTTACATCAAAGCCTAAACCTCAGCCTCACATCAAAAATCTTTAAGTGTACCCTCTGAATCTAAAACAGAATTAAATAGGCCCAGAGAAATGGCTCATGCCTTTAATCCCAGCACTTTGGGAGGCTGAAGTGGGTGGATCACTTGAGGCTAGGAGTTCAAGATCAGCCTGGCCAACATGGTGAAACCCCGTCTCTACTAAAAATACAAAAATTAGCTGGGTGTGGTAGTGTGTGCCTATAATCCCAGCTACTCGGGAGGCTGAGGCAGGAGAATTGTTTGAACTCGGGAGGCAGAGGCTGCATGCCAAGGTAGAGGGATTGTCTTCTGATTCCTGCTCAGGTAATACACAGGTAGGCTTGACCACTGACTATTCTTACAGGACAGCAGCAATATTCCTGGTCTTTCTAGACCAAGGAGGTCAGCATTCGTATCACCTCTTCCTCATCGTTTAATAAGGATTTTTCTGTGCTTGTTACCAGCTATAAATGTGCTCCAGGGCTCAGTAACATCAACTCAAGTCATGAAACAGAATTCCCCTGCTTAGCATTATATTGTTTGCTGCCGGAGAAATGAAATGATGGCTTAGATCCCCCGCCTGGAATTGCTTGCTATTGGGAAAGGAAGATTCAAGTTGTTACAACCTAAATAAAGTAAAATGTGTCTTATAAATTACAAGCTACACTCTAGAATTTACAAAGAGGACTTCACAGTACATGCCTGCCTATGTGTAAGCCTGCTGTGCTTTTTGGTATCTCTTCAGATAATTCTCACACAGCCCTAATAAATTTGTAGGGATGCAAGTGATTTCATCTTTCCATATGCAAAATCCATTTTGAACTTGGGAAGGAAAAAAAATGAAACACCTTAATTACAGAGATTTATGACATTTTTAACCTGAGAAAGATTAACTTTTTCTATCATTTATAATTCAGCTCCCTTAGCAACCTCATTTACAAGCCAGATCCATGTTCCCTTACGAAGCTGGCTCAATTATACAGCAGCATGAAACATCATCTGGGCAGAGAGTATTAGCTTAAACAGAAATTTGTCTTCCACGCTGGAGTATAAGCTGAATTCTGCGATAAAACACATTACCTTTGTTCTTTAATTTTTCAAAGTAGAAATGAGATGACTCTGTCAGGAGGCTGGGGAGGGGAGTCTCACTTCATTCCAGGATTGGCAGCAACAGCACAGCATTCATTCCCAACAGCCCCTGCTGGAGATGAGCAAATGTCTATCAACGTAAATTTTTTAAAGAAGAAAAATACCAACCAATCAGAGACGGAAAATGGAAGCAGATAAAGCACGGTGTTAGTGTCCCAAGGTGGCCAGCAGAGGGCAGCATTTCCCGTGTAAATAATTCACGAGCGCCATTTCAGAACAATGCCTAGTGATTATTTTTAATTACATTAATTTTTCCCTTTAATATTACAAACAGGGAATGAAGTTCATTTTGCAGTGCTCTCACCAGCTGAAAGGTCCAATTAAAATTAAAAGGGGAAATTGATTTTTCTTTGGGTTCAATTAAATCTTTCATTTGGTTAATCAGAACTGAGGCCAGAAAAGCCGGCTATTCTAGAATAGTACTAGGGAATTGTCCGGGGAATGACTGCAGAGGGCTGCAGCTGCTCCGGTTTTCTGGGCACTGCCATGAATTTCATCTCCAGTTACAATATGATTGTAGGGGCGCTTCTGATGTCATCAAAGGTCCAGCCTTGGTTCCATGGCTGCCCCAGACCCACTTTCTAAGACCCAAATGTAGTGACAGTCCCTTTCATATCATCTGGTCTGTATTTTGGAAAGGATGTTATTAAAAACAATTACTTGAAAAAAAAAAAGGCCACGTAATCCCAGCACATTGGGAGCCTGAGGCAGGCAGATCACCTGAGGTCAGGAGTTGGAGGCCAGCCTAGCCAACATGGTGAAACCGCACCTCTACCAAAAATACAAAAAAATTAGCAGGGCGTGGTGGCAGGCGCCTGTAATCCCAGCTGCTGGAGAGGCTGAGGCAGGAGAATCTTTTGAATCCAGGAGGCAGAGGTTGCAGTGAGCCAAGATTGTGCCACTGCACTCCAGCCTGGGAGACAGAGCAAGACTCTGTCTCAAAAAAACAAAAATTAAATAAATTTTTAAAAGATAAAAAGATAAAGTATTATTGAAATGTGGCAAAAGAAATGTGCAGTATACCATATATTCAAAAGTGAAAGTACTAAAAATAGAATACCAGGGATCCTGGTCATGAAGTCCTGCAGGTAGGAGGCATCCTCTGTGTGCCTGTGGCCTCCCCCTGATTACTGGTGCTGGCCCCCACCCTACCTGGCACCAACCTTCACACTGCTGCTGGAGTAGTTCACATTTCGAAAACCTCAACCTGATTAGGTCCCTCCCTGCTTAAAACCACTTGCCTCTCTCAATTGCCTTCAAGACAGTTAGAATCTGGGTACCTCTGTCACTCCCAGCTCCCAGGGTCTCCGGTGGTGCAGCACCCACGTCCCCTGCACGCCCAGTGCTCCCCGAGACCCGCTCAGCCCCTTTCCACCTTCCTCACCACTCGCTTGTCACTCTAGGACAGGGTTTCTGAGCCTTGGCATTCTGGATATGTTGGGTCACATTATTCTTTTTGTTTTGGGCTTTGTCATGTGCACTGGAGGATGTGGCCTCCACACACAGCTGTTGATCCCAACTTTTTAGCTGTGACAAGCAAAAATGTCCCCAAGCATTGCCAAATGTCATGTAGGAGGCAAAATCATCCACAGTTCAGAATCACTGAGATAGACTTAAAAGACAGCTCCTGTAAAGAGATTTCCTGGCCCCCACCTGTGCACCTCCCTGTGCTCCTCCTTGTGCACCCTCTGCCTACGGTGTTGCACTGCACTGTGTCTACTCACACACCTCCTCCCAGGAGCAGCCCCAGTAGAGCTCATGGTGTGTGCTGGATGAATAACTCGTGTTGTTGGATGACTGGATGGATACATAGATGGATAGATGGGTGGATGGGTGGACAGATGGACATTGGATGGGTGGATAAATAGGGGAGTGAGTGGATGGATGAATGGATATATGGGTGAATGAATGGGTGAATGGATAGAGAGCTGATTTCTATGAAGCATCCCCATTTATGGATGACAATTCCAGGCTTCAAGTTTAAGAGGCATCTCCTCAGGCACAAAGTAGAAACCATTGGTCAGTCAGGCAGAGAAGATGAGACGAGGGATGGAGAGGAAGGCCTCAAGCAATAGTCCCCTGCAGTACAGAGTTGGACCATTTCATCCTCCAAGCCAGGGAGTCACAAAACTCAGGATGGTGATCTTTCCTGAACCAGGGAAGAAAGCCAGGCACTTCTACAGCTACTACAGTTGACAAGATTTCATGCTTTAAATTAACGCCAATCAATTAAGCCATACTCTGCTTTAGCAAAAGTGATACTTGTGCTTAAAATTGTTACCAGCTTCCCTTGAATTCTGTGCATAATATACAGCCTGTAACCTTGACCCAGAGAACTAATCAACTCCAACTGCTGCCCTTCTTGACACCTGCCACTAAGGTCTTCCTCACAGGAGGGAACCCATTGTTGACTGGCAGTCAGATCCTCAGAGCTGCTTTGGCGGAACCTGAGCTGGGAGGGCAGCATCCCTGCCCAGCTTGGACAGTGACCTCATGGCGAAGCTTCTCAGAATCTCCATGCTGCAGGCATTAAGGAAATACAACTTTCCGCTTCTGGACATGGATCATTGGCACAGAATCCTTGACATAGGTCATTGTGTCGCCCAATGACTTTCAGTTCCTACAAGACCAAGCTTCAGAAGCAACTTCAAACCTTTCTCATCCGCTCTTCATTCTTATAGCCAACAATGTTGTCTCATAATCTATAATTTTGCTGAAACTTCTAAATTTTCTATTCCAGGGGCTCAGCCCTTGGTCTTCTCTCCTTCGTCCACTTGCTGCCTTGGGAATCTCTTCCAGTCTCTTGGCTTCAAATACCGTGTATTTGGTGATGACATCTAAATTCATAACTCCTGTCCTCATCTGGCCCATAAGTTCTAGCTTATACTTCCTAAGAGCATCTCTGTTTTGATAATTAATAGGTGTCTCAAGTTTACACATCCAAAACCAGGCTCTCAGAGGTCCCCTAAAGCTACATCTCCCACAGCCTTTGCCATCTTGGAAAATGCACTCTGTTTAAAGTCTTTCTGCTCATGGCTTTCCATATGGACACCTGCACAGATAGAGAACAACAAATTTGTATTCCAAATAAAGAAAAGAGAAGGTGTAACTACATTCTTCCATGGACTCACCGTTTCTACTTGGAGAAGTAATAAGCACATGTGGAGATGCCCTCCCCTTGCTGTAATGCACCAGAGGTCTAAGGCTCCATTCTAGCCAGAGCTGCTGAAAGCACCTGAGTTCCTAAGAACAACAGCTACACTTTGGGGCATGTCCTGTGTGCCAGGCACTGTTCTAAGTGCCTTACACGTATTGCCTCATGTGCCTAATCTACACAGACAGTTGTGAGACAGGTATTGTCATTGCACGCCTTTTATAGATGAGGAAACTGAGACACGAAAGGATAAGTAATTTTCTTAGCAGCACTACTGAGCGGAGCCAGGACTCAGTCCTCAACAGTGGCCAGGACTCAGTCTTCAACAGTGGCTTGCAGAGGCCATGCTCTGATGCCCTCCACTTTGCTCTGGGACCTCACCGTGTCTCTTCAGGCATGCCAACCTTTGCGCAGAACTGGGAAACCCTCTGAGCAGGAACCACATCCTGACTGCTCATGGCAGTTTGGATACGGGCAAGCAGAGCTCAGTGAAACTGAGCAGGATTGCCCCAGCCCTGGTCTGTGGGCACCTGATGGTCCTCAGTCCAATAAGCTTGGAGAACACAAAGTTAAACAGAGAGAGTCACGGGTCTTGACTGCAGGACTTCTGGGATCTTTAAAATGGGGTTGGGGGAGCAAGAATAAAGTATGTAGCGCTTCACACAGCAATTTGAAGACAGGGCCCTCTTTCTAGGACAACTCGTTAATCCATTTTGAGAAACCTCTCATTAAGGGGAAATGCCCTCCGGCCTGATCCAGTCCCTTAATGAATGAAAGCCTGTGGCCTTTCATTCTCCTTTGCTCCAGGACTCTGAAGAAGCCAAAGCAAGGTTCTAAGGCAAAGCCAAGCCCCTGGCTGCCAGAACCTATTGGATCAATCTCTGTTTTCAACTCCTCTCCACCTCCCTCCCTCCATTAGGCTGAGTATGCTTTCTCATCCTATCAGGGGCCATTTTCACCCAACTGTGGGCACAAGTTCTAGAATGGACCAGAAACATCATAGACCAGGGTAGTCTTCATGATGTAGCCACTGTTGGGACTTTAATCTTTTTAATTTTAGAATTGATTATGTTCATCTTACATTTTGCCTGATTTGTTTTAAATCGAGGCCTTCATTTTATGCATTTTTCATCATCAAGGCATTTTCATCATCAATAAATGGAGTGCATGTGATCAACCACAAATAATAGGGCAAGCATCACTTCTGAATGTGTCAGAAATCCTTCCCGCCTCTGGGGTACTAGGATGCAGACTCAAGATGAGTCTATTTCCATTCCATCTTCTACCTCCCAAGGAAATTTAATCCAGCAGAAGCCTTGTCGCCTTGCAGAGACACTGACTTGTGACAGCCTCATCTCCATAAAACAGAGGGGCAGGCGTTGTGCCAGGAATCCTATGGTACCAGGAGAGAGGGGATGCCTTCATTGCCAAAACACTGACAGATCCACTGAGCTAACCCAAGGGGGAGCCAAGAAGGAGAGGTCTTGAGGTTTTAAAGGGAAGAGCCCATGCGACTGTTTGGATGCAAATGTGTTTCTACTCCAAGTCATTTCTGTCTTAACACTATCTCTTCACCAGCTGTTCCTCTGGGGTAAAGGTTTTCACATTTCAAAGCTTCCATTTCTCACCAAGTCCCATGGCAGGGAATGTATGCCTTCTTTTTTAACTATATGAAGAATGCAAGGGCCTGAGGATGTATTTCAAGGGGTCCATACTGTAGAGTTCTTTATAGGCTACTAACCCCACCAGGGGCCCAGTAAGAAATTATTGCTTTGCTCTTAAGAAAAAACAAATTGGGACCAAAACAACATGTTGAGCCATAAAATAAGGAAGTTCTTCAAGAAGCATGAGGTCACGCCAAAGGATACAGGAGGTTGCTGACA